GTAGACAGTGGGGGTCCTCTCAACACTGCCTGGGCATCAGAACCCCTTGCCTGAAAGGCAAGCTGTTCTTTGGCTGCTTGGTAGCTCAGGTTATGTTTCAATTTGAAAGTCAAGACTTTTTTTTCCTCTTTCCATTTTGGGCAAGAGCGAAAGAAAGCAGGGTGCGCTCCGCTACAATTTACACATTTCGGTTCATTTTCACAGATGTCCGCTACATGGTCAGTACCACCGCACTTTCCACACGTTTCTCGGCCGCGACAGTTTCGGGAACCATGCCCAAAACGTTGGCAACGGAAACACCGCTGAGGATTTGGAATGAAAGGGCGGACTCTGCAGCTCAAATATCCTGCCTTCACGGTGGATGGAAGGGCATGGAGCTCAAATGTGAGTATCAGATGGCGGGTTGGTTTTTCTTGTCCGTCACGTTTTAAGGTGATTCGTCGAACAGCAACGACAGCACTCTTGCTAAGACCTTCGAGGATCTCGTCTTCACTGCATTCGAGAAGGTCATCTTCTGAGATGACACCACGAACAGTATTCAGGGTACGGTGGGGGGTGACAGTAACCGGGTAGTCTCCCAGGCTTGTCATCTTCAAGAGTGCTGTGCTCTGTGGCTTGTTTTCTACCTCAACAAGGAGGTCTCCAGCAAGCTTCTTTGCCTTATAAGATTTTCCAACCACTTGTTCTAGATGCTTTGCAATCACAAAGGGAGAAACTTTTGACAAATGCACAGTGTAACTTGCGGAGTGTACTACAAGAAATCGAGGATATTTTTCAGGTTCATTAGCTTTTTCAAAAGTAAGGGGAGCGGGGCGAACCCTTTTCGGGGGTCGCTCTGCTCGGGGTTGAGAAGAGAGGGGCGCCATAAAAAGGCAAAGGGTTTTCGGAATCTGTGGCGCGCCGCCCACCACGGAGCCCAACGAGGGAATAGGTAATACCCCATAACAAATATGGCTTTGCTGGAAGCATTACTCTATTAGCGCTACCCAGAAACTATAACCAAGTGTGGATCTGGACGAGAGTATCTGTCACCACCCAAGGTTAGCCCTTGCCGCCAAAGAAGTTGAAAAGGAAAGAAGAGAAATGAGAAGAGTGAAAAGAAGGAGGAGACAAGGGTGAAAGAAGGGAGGGGATAGTAGAAGGAGTGACGACTAGACTGAATCATCCTGGCCGGGCCTTACCAGGACTCCCGTCTATGAGAAGCGGGGGCCGAAGTGTTGTATTGCCTCGCCCGGGGGGCCCCGAAGGGTCCAAACCTACCCCGGGCTCGGCTCAACCACCAGGATGCCCTTTTCCCCAGACACGGGTAAGCCACGCACAGTCAGACGTGGGCGAGCGAACCCGCATGGCTCGGGGTCCGTGGAGACGCCACTCTCCAAACACCTGCTTTCACAGGTGCCCCCTGCGGGGTGTTTTATCGAGGCATTTGGCGATATTTATGAGTGCCTATAGCTTCACTCTTATATAAATGCTGCCCTTGTTGATGAAATTCCCTTGGCAGTGGCAGTCAGACGTCATCTGATGGACCATCAGATGACGTCTGATGGTCCATCACGTTCCACCAAGGCTGTTGACTGGCAGTCAGTGTCCCAAATTACGTACCTTGATGGAATTTTCAATAGGGGTCAGCTTCGGATGAGCAGATATTTTTTGACCTGGATAAGAACGTTCTGAGCACTGATGCCTTGTGACAGGCTGGGTGATTGGAATGGAAATGGAGATAACGTCCAGTATGTGTTTGTTTTCTGTAGGCAGAAAACTGAAGCTCTTCATTTTGTCTTCTGACGAGCACGTCAAGGAAAGGTAAGGTATTGTCCTTTTCATGCTCCATGGTGAATTGTGTAGACGTTTCAATGGAGTTGAGGTAGGTAAGGAACGTGTCCACTTCTGACGTTTTTAGGATGCGAAAGCAATCATCTATGTACCTCAAGAACACCTTGGGGGCCGTGTGAAATGACTGTAGCGCCTTTTCCTCGATAGCTTCCATACATAGGTTCGCTGTTGTGACGGAAATGGAGGCACCCATTGTGGTTCCACTGGACTTTTTGAAGAATTCTTCCTTGAAACTAAAATAGGTGCTGCTTAGGCAGAACTCAAGCAGGCGGCAGAGTTTCTCTACGCTAAGTTCTGTCCTTTCGCTCAGGGATTGGTCTTTCTCGAGGGTGTTCTTGGCCGTGGCGACAGCCAGGGGAACCTTGACGCTTGTGAATAGCGAGATGACGTCGAAGGATACGAGACTTTCATCAGTGGTCACCTTCAACGTCGAAATCTGTTCCATGAAGTCGTTGGAATTTCGTATATAGGTCGTCGTTTTGACCACGAGAGGCGAAAGAGTCTGGTGAAGGTAGTTCGTATATAGGTCGTCGTGGTCAGAACGACGACCTATATACGAGATAATTGCTTTCGCATCCTAAAAACGTCAGAAGTGGACACGTTCCTTACCTACCTCAACTCCATTGAAACGTCTACGCAATTCACCGTGGAGCATGAAAAGGACAATACCTTACCTTTCCTTGACGTGCTCGTCAGAAGACAAAATGAAGAGCTTCAGTTTTCTGTCTACAGAAAACAGACACATACTTGACGTTACCTCCATTGCCATTCCAATCACCCAGCCTGTCACAAGGCATAAGTGGTCAGAACGTTCTTATCCAGGTCAAAAAATATCTGCTCATCGGAAGCTGACCGTAAAAAAGAGGAACACACCATCTTCGCCGACCTACAACGTAACGGTTATACAAGCAGCTTCATCCGCCGCATTGCACGTCATCAAGCCCGGGATCGCCGACACCTGCAACTCCCAACAAGTATACGGAGCCGTCCTACCTCACGCATCAGCATTCCCTACATAAAAGGTACAAGCGAGGCGCTGGCGCATGTACTGCCCAAAGAGGGGATCCAGGTGGCCCACAAGCCGATGTCTACGCTTGGAAGACTCATGCCCTGTCCAAAGGATTGCCCGCCTAAGGAAAAAGCACAAGGCGTCCATTTATACAAATTCCCTGCGAGGACTGCCCGGTCGCATACATCGGGGAAACGAAGAACTTTCAGGAGAGAATCCGCCAGCATAAGAACGATGTCCGAAAGTTCGACCATGAACGAAGCGCCGTAGCTGAGCACTGCGACGTCAAGGACCACAGAATTGACTTTGCCAACACCAGCATCCTGGCTGTTGAGACGAATCCCAGACATAGACCTTTTATTGAACCCTGGCACATACAAACGACGCCAGGAAACATAAATAGATCCCTCGGCACTCTGCCGACCGGCTACGTGAACGGACTTAGCCACCACACCGATGCAAAACGATAGAGACTGCCGTAGAAGAAGAAGAAACCAGAATACTGCTCCTCAACGGCCATAGCCGCAGTCAACCGCCAAAGAAGAGACCGAGCAGGTCTCGAAAAGTGGGGTTTCGCCTTTAAACGAGGATTTGGTTGGTGTATATTTTATTTATCATTATTGTTGCTCCCCAACCAGAGAGACTTCTCTCAAATGTTCACCTTCAAGATGTCTAATGCGCTAGAGCTTTGTTTCAATTTTAACACACCGTGGAATTCGTCAAAGCATATGGTACTGCAGCATGGTAGATTCCCCCTCGTTTTTACAGGCATTGTCTGCTAACGCGATTTTAGCCCCCTCAGTGCAAGCCAATTGAGATATCGATCTCAACTGACACAAAAAAAATGAGCCCCTCGTCTGACAATATTTAAAGTTTGTGATGGAGAAAATCTTTTAGTATTGATACTTTAGAACCATGTTCTTAATAGGAGAACACACGTTTAAACTCAAACATTGAAACATGGTGATTGTATAAGATGCACAAAAATATTAAGTGCTGGAGAAAATCAGCCTTCGGAAAGCCTTTATTTCACCAGACGATAGCCAGGAAATGGAGTCCGTTCTTGCTGGGTTCAAATGCTGGCTTCATACGTACAACCATTAAACTTTTGATGAGGTAGGACATGGCGGTGCAGTGAGATCAGGTGTGTACTTAAAACGTTTCACAATACACTTCCATGGGCGCGAAAGGTATACTTTTTTGGTGCTCCGGCCACTAGGTTATTTTTACCCATAGCATGGTCCTTGGGTATCAGTGTGGCATTTTTTTTTAATGAAAACAGGCTTTGAGTTTGGAATGCTGGTCTCAGGAAAGTTTTGCGAAAGCGACTGAACCTCGGGCGTGTCGGATAGGTTTGGATCCAAGAAGCCAGGAGTGTGAGCTTCCCTGGTCTCGGACGTATTCAAACCTAAAAAGATTTCGACAGTGGACAAGGTTATCAACTGCATCAAGGTTGTCAGTGTTTGGATCTGTGGTTCGAGAATGAATGAGAAACATCTCTAAATTGATACAGGAGGAGGCCTGGGTACATTCTGGTGGTTTCGGGCTTGCATTTGACAATGCGGTCGCACTATGTACCACGGGTACAATCCTAAACATCATTGTCAACAGCGACATTCAGATAAATGTTTGTATGAGACACGAAACGGCACTGCACAGGAGTGTTTGTATCAATGTGCCAGATGCACTGGGCCGGAGGAGCTGGCAATAGTCTCCTGCGAAAATAAGGAGGTGGCAATCGTCCGACGCAAAATCAACCAACTTGGGAAGGACGTCTACCCACGCCAAAGTATCGCCTGCTTGTGTTTTGACATTACCGTAGAATACCACACATCTGCCCATTCCACATTAAGCGCCCGTATCCAAATTTTTAAGATCTGAGGAAATATGCACAGTACATTTATATGAAAAATTGATGACAGGATAAGCGCCCATCCCCCATTTTTTCGTTATTATCTCTATATTTTGAGTGGGCGCTTGCCCGGTATTTTATGGTAGATGGTTTGCAGACATGCTTTATACACCTAAAACACCAAATAAGCTGAACATTCGTTGTAAAAGTTTTCAAGTTTTTGATTTGCTCAGAACCAAAAAGCTTTCAAGGTTAGTTTCATCACTGCTGTAAATGTTGTGCTCACAAAATATTTTTCTTTTACAGGTGCGTGGCGAGAGATACTTGGACCTGGCAGTGGACAGCAAGCTTCTGCTGTTTCTCATGAAGATGAAGCATGGCCTCACGTTCTCTGCGTTAGGAGTTCTATTCAGCATTCATCGGAGTAGCGCGTCGCGCATTCTCTATGCCACTCTGGACGTCCTGTATGTCAGCACTCGAGGGTGGATCCAGTGGTTTTCGAGGGATGTTGTACAAGCGTGAATGCCTCCCTCCTTCCGCTTCAACTATCCCACTTGTAGGGTTATTGTGGACTGTTCGGAGGTCCGAATCGAGAAACCAGGTAAAGTCACAGACAGGGTAAACTGCTGGAGCAACTACAAGAGTGACTTTACACTGAAATTTCTAGTTGGGATCACACCGTCGGGGTACATAACATTCATTTCGGATGTGTTTGGTGGCAGGTCAAGCGACACATACATCATCGCCAACTCTGGATTGATTAGCCTGCTGGAACGGGGGGATATGGTGATGGCGGACAAAGGTTTTCCTCATATAAAGTGTGACTTGGAAAGTAAGGACGTCACACTTGTCATGCCACCATTCGCAAAAGCCAACCAGCAGTTCACTGAGGCGGAGCTGAAAGAGACCTACAAGGTTGCATCTCACCGCATTCATGTCGAGAGATGCATTCAGCGCATCAAGAGTTTTGCGATCTTGAGTGAAAGGCTAACACCAGAACTCAGATTTCACATTGACAAGATAGTACATGTGTGCAGCACACTGGCCAACCTACAAGGTCCTGTCATAAAAACTGTGTGAGTGCTTTGAACAGAAATAAATGTTTGGATACATGTTTTTATTTTTCCTGTATTCTGCAGGCATGCGCGCATTTCATTCCATAAATAATTAAAAAAAAGATTCACAAATCAACACTGCTGGAGTTTAACACAGATACAATTGAAAACGAGCGTGTTGGTTAATAGATACAAAACTTTAAAGTATAAAAACAGTGAGGACGGGGACAGGACATCTTTCATTTAGCAAAAAACACAGAATGGCACAACGATAAAACCGCCCCCCAAAGGTTTCAACGTTCTCAAAAAAGGAAAGGAGATAATTGTTATAATGTATAATTGTTAGGACGGGGACAGTGTCCTTTCCCCGTCCTCACTGTTTTTATACTTTCAAGTTTTGTATTTAACACAGACTTTGGCGCCTCTGCACAGCTGGGAAGTAGTGCCTAAAAAAAACACTCTAATTTCGGCACAACTTTCTTCAGGAAGGAGTCATTCCTTCTCACTTCTACACATTCTGACCCCTTTGGCGAATACTCATAAAAGTCGCATATCCTCACACCTAAGACATACATGCTTATTTGTACTTGTGTGTAGTATACATGACTTTCCTGTAGTCGTAGCTTTTCTCCTTTGTAGTAGAGATAGTCCACATTGATATCCTTACTATGGGAAGGAGCTGAGCTAGTTGGTTGGACGTTTTGGAGGTTGATATCCCTGTTGACTACAGGCTTGGCCTCGCATCTGGAAGGGCATTTTATCTCTAGGAGTCGGATCTCCCCGTCTTCTTCTACCAAGCCGTCAGGGCTGTAGCACAGCCATGGCTGTGGGGCACAGACAAGTCCTACTTGGATAACCTTGTGTTTCTCCAACGACTCGTACTCCCTCCGGGCTTCAGGTTCTTTTTCAATGCCATAAGCACATGCAGCACTCTTGAACGACCGCGGTGTTGCAAGGTCTTTCGCCAGGGTTTCAAAGTCTGCAGTTCGTATTTTGATTCGGTGAGCCTTGGAGCTGGCAGAAATTCTTGCTGCCCTCTCATGGTGCCACTGTGGGCAAGCACTCTGCAGCATCGTGTACTTTGCAATGTCCTTGCACTCATCTTGGCTCACCATAACCTGAAGAAGGATATCGTCGCATACCTCTTCGCATGAAATGTTTTGTGCTCCAAATATTACGTCGGGTCCAAGTTGTTGTAAAAGCTTGTCGAGACCTGCGAGGTTCTCCTTCACTTGCGCTTCTTGCCGAAGCATAATGCCCAGAGGGCAGTTCGAGTCAACGATCGAAGCTGGTACTGGTTGTCCCCGCAGTTTGCCATCTGGTAGTTTCGGAGTGTACATCTCGGAAAACGGAACACCCTTGTTGTAGATGCCCAGCTGCTTGGCTGATGGCCTCTTCCACACGTTCGTGATGGACGTCTTTGTCGACGTGTCCTCCTTGTTCACGTATGCCACAACTGCTGCTGCATGCTTGCACTGGCCGCATGTGCCACCTCTACAGGTGCAGTGAGCTTCCACGATTCTCCTGCTGTTGTCCAGCTAATGACAAAAGGAAACCATAGATGTAACACTACTCAATGGCCAGTCAAATTCATTGAACATTGTCATTATGAAGATTATCAGCCCTACACCTTACCCTCTCAACCACAGCAACAAAAAAACATTTTCACTAAATATACGTCAGAAGTGCGCAGGAATTTATTTTAGTTAGGACGACCAACGTGGAATGAGATGAGTGAGACAACTGTACTACAAATGCAGGCACATTTATCCCGTTAATGTCCCCCCCCTCGCGAAAACAGTTTGAGGAGACCGTTTCTGCTACTGGTCGGACGCTCGATCCTATTTCAGCCAGCGGTGAATGATCCCTCTTTTATATTAAAGGCGAGAACGCATTTTGCAATGAGCTTGGGTCTAGGGATTGGTAGCAGTGACAGAAATGGTTTCCAAAAATCACCCCCAAAGTCTCACAGGCGCTGCCGAAATTTCCTGAACGAATAAAGGTTGGAGGCTTTTGTAACCGTAGCAGTCGTTCACGAAATTTTTGTTATCGCGGCTCTCTGGGTGCTCAATACAATCGAGCTAGCTACGACAAAGAGATGGCGTGTAAACAAACTACTTCCAGAAAAGATAAAGGCAGGATAAGCGAAGAGAGAGATCGTTACACAGAGCAACGAAGTGAAGGGAAACATTGCGCAAACTCGACGCCGTGCGAATTGCCATAATCGGAAGCAGTAAACACAGCATCGCTACGATCTAATCTAGGCGATCGGCAACCCCGGATAACTCCAAGATTCTGAGGGATGGACGGTTAGTAAATACGCACAAAGTACTTTCTGAGCACTGAATAACGGCAACTTACTTTGATTGTTATGGAGTAGGCTTCTTGGGAGACGCTTGCCTGTCGCACACACCTCGCATTCAGGACCGACGACGCAGTCGATACTCTCTCGTTTACATCGAAGACATGTCCACTTTCATGCAGTTTTTCGCCCTTCTTTGTAGTGGAATCGCGAAATAGGGAGTCAGCTAGGATGTCTCTAAAACCGCCCCGAAAAACCAAGCCTCCGACGGCGGAAGCTTGCGTCGCCATAGCTTCCAGGTGTACGAAGCCGTCTGCAGGCTGCCGGACAACTCTCGCAATCTAGCACCGGCTCCGCCGCTAGCGGCGCCACGCGCGTTTTTCAAAGCGCCCCCTATAGTTCCCGCACGGAGTGTATTGTGGAGTGTATTGACTGCAAATGCGCCAGCGTAATTTATGGATTAGGCATTTTCTCAAACATGACACAAAGAAAAAAAAAAAAACGTCGGAATTGTCAATTTTTGTCAATGGGAATACAAACTGCTCGAACTCTTCGTTCTAAGGAAAGTAATATTTTTAGCATAGCTCATGGGCACAAACTGGTTATGCCATCATACCGCTTCATAAAAATTCACTGAAGTCCGGATCCTGCCCCGCGACCTCGTCTCCGAACGCACAAGCATTGAAGACCCGATTGTATTAGCCACGATCGCTCCAGCCTTTCGTGCCGGAAAGCTGCCAGCGTAATCTAAACTCATCGTCGATAACAACGCCGACTCAGCAAAGATTGGTCAAGAGGGAAGCGACAAGAAATGAACGGCCATCAAAAATATCGCGCATGCGCTATCAGTTCCATAATTCAGCTGTTATATAACTGTACTCTGTCTCACTAAACCCGCGCAATACAGCCAAAGTTACAGCCGTCGGAAGCGAATCAGAAGATCGAACATCGTTTGCTTTTTGCTCATGTGAGCGGACACCGCCTACGCGGATTTATGCGCCGCAGAGTGATCGTGGAGAGTGCCGTTTGATTTTCTGGTTGGCATACGAGGCTGTAGCTTTGGCGTCACTGCACGGTTTTAGTCATACAGAGCATACACCTTTCCATCGCTTATCACCCGGGCGAAAAATGTCGAGTCACTGGGCTGTGGACGCAGGCGCAGCGTACGATATTTCGCAAAGGGAGCTGTTGCGCGTGCTCAGAAGGCGTTCCATAGCCCAGCAAAGAAAAATGGCAGCTCACAGACGGCGTTTATTGGAAAGGTCTATAGATAGCGCATCGAGCAAACACCACCTAGGTTCTAATCAAATCTAATCAAAGCCTGTTAACTGTCCCCTCTTTGTTAATGGAAGTCACCACACTCCGACGTTATCAATTTAGCGACTGAGCCCGACCCTGACATCCGCTCAGTGACTGGGCACGACTCCCAACCTAGCCATGCACAACGCTGAGCACTCCTGTTCAATCTGTGCGTTAGCCCGGTTGTAGTGTGATGGTGTCAAATTTCAAATGTGCAAGCCCTGGTGTTTCTATGCGCGTACCATCCATTAAGGGTGCGGTCCCACCGCGGCCATCTTGAAAGGCAAGATTTATTAAAATCAACATATAGACAATGAATCAAAAGTTGCTACGCAAACATCTTTCCACTGTTCTTGGGCATTTGAGGAAGCAATGTAATAGTCATAGCTAGATTATTTAATTAGATAATTAGCGACAAATTATTGCTACGGTGTTCAAAGTTTCCTCCTCTAATATTAACGTTAGGAGGGCGATAATTTTACATCGTGTAGTCAACGCGTCAATAAGGATGGCTATAGAGAGTGTTCTCGAAATTTTTGAATGAAAGTGTGTTTTAGAAAATAAAACATTTGTTCCACGAAACTTTTGATTTTTTAAAACACACATTAAATAAAAAATTTCGAAAACGCTCTATAGCATTCTTCACTGTTGCGTTGACTACACGGTGTAAGATTGTCGCCCTCCTAACGTTAATATTAGAGGAGGAAACTTTGAACTCCGTAGCAATAATTAGTCGCTAATTATCTAATTAAACAATCTAGCTATGACTATTACGTTGCTTCCCCAAATGCCCAAGAACAGTGGAAAGATGTTTGCGTAGCAACTTTTGATTCATTGTTTACACGTTTCTTTTAATAAATTAAAAAACTGTTCTCTTGCCTTTCAAGATGCCCGCGGCGGGACCGCAGCCTTAAGGCCACGCACTTTGGCTTGGTCTTTATCATATCGCGCTTCGTCTTCGACGACGACGTCGACGTCGTCGAAGACGTCTTGAACGTCAAAGAAGTCGTGGACGTTGCCCAAGATGTCTTGAACGTCGGCGGATTCGACGTCGACGATGTTGTCAACGTTCAAGTCGTCGACGACGTTGTCGTCCTGAACTTGTCCTCGACGTCCTCGGCGTTGGCAACGTTTTCGACGTTCAAGGCGTCTACGATGTCGAAGATGTCTTAGATGCTCAAGTCGTTCACGACGTCCTCGGCGTTCACGACGTCTTCGATGTCGTCGGCTTGAACGTCGGAGTCGTCAAATTTGACAACATCGTGGACACCTTGAACGTCGAAGACGTCGCCGACGTCCTGAACGTAAAGGTCGTATTCACATTGAAGACGTCAACGACGTCTTGGACATCGACAATGTCTTCAACGTTCACGTCGTTGTCGTCGTCGTTGTTGTCGTGGACGTAATTGTCTTTGATGTTCAAGACGTCCACGACGTCCTCGACGTTCAAGACGTCCAG